AATGGTTGATGTCATTCAGGACATTTTTATTTTTTTTTTGTTTTTTTGTTTTGTTTTGTTTTGTTTTTTTTTGCATCTTACATGGTTGTATCAAATTCAATGGTTGATTCCTAGGTTAGTCAGGAAAGATTTAGGATGTTTACCAGCTGATTGAACCAAATGGTCATTAAAGACCACAAAGTGAGAAAAAAACTTTGTTTCTTGAAGGACTATTCCATACTTAATTATATGCAATTATTTGATTCTGCGAGCACAACAACATTCATTATGACGGACAAAAGGATGGTGGAATTTGTGAAAACCCCAGACATGAACAATCAAGTGTTAAGTACTATAATTATCCAATTAGTCTCATCTTTTTGGGGTCGCAATCAATGATTAATTAAATTCAACTACTAATCATTTTTAGAGACATAAAGATGTGGCACATCGATGGTAGGATTACCCAAAGCTTCTGTAATTTAGCTTTGTCTAGACAGTTAATGTTTCTTACTGGAACAAGGTATTTGCTTTTCATGAAAAGACAAGTGCATGTGTTAGATTTTTATCTGATTGAGCGAATTGCAGTTTTGGATGCCATGCTATGACCTATGTGTATAAGTTGCCCCCAAAGTTTTGGCCTTTGCAAATGTGATTCCTAACATTTTGAAATTTGCATGAATCTAGAACAATTGATGGAATTAAAATCAAAATAGCAAATTGTCAAATCAAATTGGTGATCTTTATTTTACTTAAGAAATAAAAAACTCCTTTTCACACAACATTCTTAATAGGTTTTGTTTTTTTATTGAACAGATAATAAAACAAAAATAAATTTAAGGAAAAATTTTTTATTCATGAAACAAATCGAAAACTTCTCTTTTGTACAAATTTATTTTTAGTAGTTTTTATTGTTTAAATAATAAAAAGAAATAAAGAAATTATGCTCACACAAGATATAAAAAATATTAAAAAATTCTTTTTAAGTTTTTACTTAAATATAAAAAGAAGAAAAGATACATAGAAATTTTGTTCAAGAAAAAAATGAAAAATTTTTTTTGCAAATTTATTTTTTAGTAATTTTTTATTTTTAATAAAAATATCAAAAGAAATAAAAAGAACAGGAAAATTAAGAAAAAATAAAGAAATTGTGTTCATTCAAGAAATAAAACTTCTTTTTCATGCAGATTTCTTTTCTAGCAGAGATAAAAGAAATCAATTGCGAAGAAGAAATAAAGAAATTTATTCACTAAAGAAAAGAAAAACTTGTTCCTTAACACAAATTCTTTGTTAGTGGATTTCAGTTTTTTTTTGTTTGAAGAACAAAAAGAAAGAAAAGAAGAAAAATAAATAAAGAGATTTTGTTCATCCAAAAAAAAAATTAAAAAGAAAAGGAATTTTTAATTAGCTTTTTCACTTCTTTTATTATTCGAATATTTAGCACACTCATGTATTTGAAACTTAATGGACTATATTGATTGAAACTCTAAGCATTAGGAATAAAAATGTAAATTCAAAACTTTTTACCATTAGCTACTCTTATTTTCTTTTAAGGGATAATTTCACAAACCTCCCTTGAGGTTTGTGATAATTTCACTTATCACCCTTTAACTTTAAAAAATATCACTTGCCTCTCTTGTAACTTTTTGTAACATTATCAACTGATTTCAAAATATACTATTTAAAACTTATTTTTGGATGGAGAAGATATTTTTATTCCAAAAATAGCCTTTTTTGTCGTACTCCCTCCGTCTCGTTGAAAGTGTCCTACTTTCCATTTTGGGATGTTCCAAAATATTTGTCCTATTGAAAAAGTCAAAACACCTATTATTCTCTCTTTTCAATATAGCCCTTCTCATTAATCATATGCCTATTACCATTCAATATCAAATTTTAAATTTGTGAGGATAAAATTAGAAAGAGAAGCACAAACATCACAATCAAATCACTATTGTTAAAAAGTTGGATTTTCGAAACAGGACTAAATAATTTAGACGGAGGAAGTAATTTTTTTTAAATTGAAAGTATGTAATAAAAAGTTGAAAATAAAGATAAATTGTATAAATATGTTAATTTGATAGACATAATACAACAATAGGTATTTTGACATAACAAAATTGGTTTTAAGAACATATATTCAAAGTGTTTTCAAGCCAAAAAAAGATTATTCCTTTTTTTGAAGTGTTTTTGGTCAATACGTATTATTCCTTTTTCCAAATTTTGACAATTTTTAAAATTTTTAAAATTTGTTGTTTAGATTGATGGCTTGAACACTGGAAAAAAAGAATAAAATGAGTATGTTTACAAACTCATTGGAGTTTTGTCAATTTCAAAAATTATTTTTTAATTCAAAAGGAACTTGTGTATGAATTTAAGGAATTATGAATTTCGTACAAGTTTTTTGAATTTTCTATTGTTTGTCTAGATCAATGGCTTGAAAACTTAAAAAATATAAATTCTTTACTATATATTAGAATATTATTTGAGGTGCTTTTAAAGAGTTAATGTTATTTTCTTCATTGTAAAATTCTTAGATAACTTTACGGATTTTCTAAATCATTTAGAATCTCAAAATTTATACTATATTTCTTGTGCAGACTAATAACACCAAAATTATTAATAGGTCTTTCAACCTTGTTAACATCTTGTAATTCCTAATTTAAAAAATTATATCAGCCGAGTTTTCAAAAGTTAAGAGATTAATTAGATTTGTTATGAAACTAAATTGGTTTACAAGAAAAGGGCAATAGTGAAATGAAAATGTATTCTCTATCCTCTAATGAATTTTTTAATAATATACTTTGAAATGGGTTGATAATATTACTAAAAAGAAAAAAGGAGGCAAGTAATTTTTCAAAGTTCAGGAGTGCCAAATGATATTATTGCAAACCTCAGAAGAGGTTTTTGAAATTATCCCTTTTCTTATTTGTCCCAAATTCAGACAAAGTGAGAAACATTGAAGACCACATTCACAATGGCCGAACTTATAAAATGGGGACCAAAACTGCAATTTTACTCATATATGATCGAAGGAAGATATTCCTTTGCATTTAAATTAAATACTGTGATGCATTTACTTTAGAAAAAAATGAGGATGTACTATCATGACTCCATGCATAATTAAAGGTTTTTATTTAAAGGAAGTCCATACATGTTTAAAAAATTTTCTTTAGGATTATATGAAAAGAGGATAACCTACAATAGAGCTATAGGAAAAAGGAAAATCATCAATTTAGTCCATAACCTTTTTTACTAGTGTCGATTTGGTCCCCATTTTTTAATTTTGTCCAATTTAGTACCTTAACTTATTTTTCACTTCCAATTAAGGAGCACTGCGGCGGTGCCACTAAGCAAATCAAACTTGATCCCTAACTGACCGACAAAAGAGGGGTATTTTTGGAACATCACTAACTGGTCGGTAATTAAATTGGATAATCCAATAAATTACACACCAAAATCCTTCAGACAAAATAAGGGAAAAAAATCAAACCTGTAGAAGAAAAAGCAAGTGTTTTTAAAAGCATCAGATTTTGGACAAATGATTGTAACGAGATGAAGAACAAAGTAGTAGATGGTGTCGAGACTGAAATGATGGAAGAAATAGGCCGAAAAATGCACAGGCAAAACAATGTTGAAGAAGGGGCATCTAGCGGTTGTGGTAAGTGAAATCACTTAAATATGAAAATTTTTTTGTATGAATCAATAGTTTAAACATAATTAAGTTAGTAGAGAGTTTGTGAAAATGTCTTACTTCTAAGTAGTCATATTATAATGAAGCAATAGGATGGAGTCAAATTTTTTGCGGGGGCAAGGAACATTGGACAACTATTCTGGTTGTTTGTTTTTTTAAGGGGTTCATGAGGTCCCTGGATCTAAAATAAATTGGGTTTGTTATGTTCATGTTTCTGAAAAGGCAATGAAAATTCAGATTCCATGTGTTGCATAAATTAAATTGTGACTGATGTTATTTTATGGAAAAATAAAAGGCGAGGACTTGGATGCATTCAATCTACATATTTACTATGGTGGGGCATATATCAAAGAACTAGAAGAAAAATATTTGGGGGGCAGTATGGAGATTTTTGAGGGGGTTCTAGCCATGAGAGTGAATATAGCTGCTATGATGTCATTCTGTGAATTGCTTGAGTGCCATAAACATCCAAAATACATGTACAGAATTCCAATTGGAGATGGCAAGTTAAGACTTAGGCAAATAGACATTGAGGATCATGCCATAGATATGGCTTGTATAGGGAAGCAAAATGGGTATGCAGAAGTATATGTGGTTCATGACTTCCATATTAGATTTGTTAATGGCAGTTGAAATGAATCTGCAAAAGGAAATGATGATTTGTTGTATGTGGATATCACATTCAAAGACTTCTTATGTGGGAATGTAAAAGTGCCAGTTCATGCAATTGAAAAAGAAGATATGAGAGAAATGGAAAATGTTTTGCGAAAAGCTGCTGCGTTTGATGAAGATGAACAAGGGAAGGGTAAGAAGGATGCACGGTTAGACACAACTGAGGATTGTGAAAGTTTTCATGAAAGCGACTATGACTTTAACAAGAATGATGATGATGCAATATACAAGAACTGTATTTCTATTGTTGACAGGGCACTAGAGCAGCAAATTAGCAATCTACAAAGTAAAAGTGCAGCTGATGAGAAGCGTAAAATGGCATCTGATGTGAAGGGCAAAAATGCAACTGATGTGAAGGATAAGAATGCAGCTAGTATTGAAGGCAAAGGGGCAAGTGAAAAAGTTGGTATTCAAGATAGTGCTTATGTTGATTTCCACATTAATACTGAAGAACAAATACCTATTAATAAAGAGTCAGATTCCATGAGCACAGAGGAGTTCAATGGCAACTCTTATTCCTTGGATGAAGATACTTTAGTAAAGAAACCACAGTATGTAAGATTTAGGCTAGAAAGGGACATGAAGGATCCAAAGTTTTTTTGTGGGTCTACTTTTTGATACCAAGAAACTATTCAAGATGGCAATGGAACATTATTCTGTTAAGTGGGGCAAGGAGCATAAGTGGGCCAAGAATGACAAGAATAGAATCAAGGCAAGTTGCAAACATGAAAAGTGTGCATGGTTCACTTATGTAGCTAAGGATCCAGATTGTGAAGCTTTTGTAATCAGAACCATAGACCCAGAACATGCATGTGGTCGGACACTTTATCACAAGTATGCCAACTTAGGATTCTTAGTTAGATATTATATGGAGTTTTTGAGATTAAATAGGAAGGTTACATGGTCTGCATTTAAGGAAAAGGTTCATCAGGAGTTAAATGTGCATATTACTAAGGAGCAAGCATACAAGACATTTAGGAAAGCCAAGATTTTGATTCAAGGCAACTACAAGCAGCAATATACAATGGGACTATTGTGATGAACTATTGAGATCAAATCCAGGTTCTACAGTTCATATGGAAGCAGAGGTTGACGAGATAAGTGGGATAAAAGATTCCAAAGGCTTTATATTTGCTTTGCAGCCTTGAAAAAAGGTTTCAAGACTGGGTGTAAACCAATACTTGGTGTTGATGGTTGCCATCTAAGAGAACTACATCCTGGAGTACTTCTGATAGTTGTAGGGATTGATACAAATGACTGTATCTATCCCGTTGCCTATGCAGTTGTTGAGGTGGAGAACAAGAGCTCGTGGAAGTGGTTTATTGACTTTTTGAAATACAATCTCAGCATCCATGAACAAAAAAATTGGACATTTATCAGTGATCAGCAAAAGGTACATCATATGTCTTTCTTTAATTTTCATTAGAAATCACAGATGTTTCAATAATTGTATTTATGTTGTGTGATAGGGATTGGGTTCAACAATCCAAGAAATTTTGCCAGGGGTAGAGTGTGTTAGGCACCTCCATAATAACTTCAAGAAACTGCATCCAGGTGAGACATTAAAGGGCATGTTTTGGGCTTGTGTTGGATCTGCATATATGAATAAATTTGAGAGTGAAATGGAGGCATTGAGAAAGTATGATGAAAAAGCTCACAAATGGTTGCTTGATAATACATCCCCACGCCACTGGTCAAGGTCACATTTTGGGTCCTCATCGAAATGTGACATTCTGCTTAATAACTTATGTGAAAGTTTCAATACAGTCATCTTGGATGCTAGAGAAAAGCCATTATCTATATGCTTGAAAACATTAGAGGATATACCTTATGGAAAGATTAAGGACAAAGAGGGAATGGATGAGGAAAAATAATGATGAAATCTGTCCAAAAATTATAAAAAAAAAACTTGAAAAAGGAAAAGATGATGCAAGAGCAAATATTGCAAGATGGTTTGATGATGATAAATTTGAGGTCACACACATGCATGGAGGCACCTTTGTTGTAGATTTAAAAAGACAAACATGCACTTGTAGGAGATGGGAACTTACAGGCATACCATGTTCACATGCTTCATGTTGCATTCTTTTGACTAAAAACAAGCCAAAAAAATTTGTGCATCCATGTTACATAAGAGATGTATATCTGATGGCTTATGAGCAAGCTATTGGTCCAATCAATGGACCTAACAATTGGAAGAAACCTAACAAAACCCCCTTGAGTGCACCAAAGAAGCTCAAACTTCCTGGTAGGCCTAAGAAAGCACGGAGGAGAGAGCTGGATGAGCCAAGGACTGATTCAAAGGGATGTATACGATTGTCTAGGAAGGGAAATATGCAAATGACTTGCACCAACTGCAAGCAAAAAGGACACACCAAGAGAAAATGCCCTAAGATCATTGGAGCTGAAAATGCAAAATGTAAGGGTAGAGGACCAGCTTTTAACATCAATAGGTGCAAAAAATGCAAGATTCTTGGTCACAACGTCAGAACTTGTCCATTAGCAGACCAAAAAACTCAAGACAATGCTAACAAAGCTACTGGTATGACTGTTATTCATTAATTGTCCTTATATTGCTCTTGGGGACAACTAATATTTTTTTAATTGTAGCTAATTATGAGCTTAGAGACACCAGTAGGCCCTCACAAAATAAGACAATGGAAACTTCCAATTCATGTATGAAGTTTGTTCATATTTATATCTTATTTTTTTTCTATTATTTCACATCTTGACTAGTTATTCTTATACTTGCTACTTGGTATGACTATTGGAAAAGATGTACATGACCATATTACTAGAATGGCTGAGGAAATTGAAGTGCAAGCTACTGCTCCAGAAGCAAGCTCTTAGAAAGTGGGTAGGACTGCCTGCTGTTGCTTTTGTCATGCTCCGGGACATACCAAAAAATCCTACCCCTGTTGGAGAGCACAGGCTTGGAGAAATAGGATGTGTAGTGTGAAAAGGAGGAACAAACAGTAAGTTTAGGAGCTATTGGAGTGATGAATTATTTTGAACTAATTCTAAGGGTTGTTGGGAAATGATTGTTGAAAAATTGTTTTTGCAGGCTCATAGGCTTCTGGATGAGCCAAATGATGCCACTCAAGATCCACTCGAAAAGCTAGAAGTAGAGGCTGTTGGGACATTAGCAGGCCATATGTGCAAGCATGTTTTGCTATGTTTTTGAGAAATACAGATCAGCATATTTTTTGGTTGAAGCAATAGCATTTCAGGCCTGTTTTTTGCAGTAGCAATTGCCTGTTCAAGCTTGAAGCAGTAGCAGCTTATCTCCATCTTCAATTTTTTGGTTTAAGCAGCTGCAGTTCAAGCCTATTTTGTTGTGTTTTTGAAGATTTCCACATTTGTATATTTTTTGGTTGAAGCAATTGCAATATATCCCCTGTTTTGCTATGTTTTTAAAGAATTATGGATCTGCATATTTTTTTGTTAAAGCAGTTGCTATTCATTGAATTTTAGATCAGGACCATTACGTGGCTATTGAATTACTGGGAGTATTTTTTGCCCCTTTTTTGTCAAGTGCAAATGATGTAATGACATCAATTGTCCTGTATGACTTCAGAACTATCATAAATGAAGCAAAAGTAGTCTCAAAATTTTTTTTAACTACTCAAATTACTGAAGCTATTAGTATGCATGCATTTCTGCCAATTCCACAAACAATTAAAACCATAGATTTCATACTGAAAACTCCAACAAACTAGTTTATTTCATATTCAAATTGATTAAAATTACAACTCAAAACCTTGATCCTGTACACATAAATAGCTGACATACAACAAAAATTCTATTACAAGCACTAGTCCGCCATTCTTGAACCCTAGTTCAGCATTTTTAATTCTAGCACCCCCTATTTTCGTCTTCTATTGCACCCAAGAACAACTACAATTATAATGCAGCAGTAGACACATGCCAACCAAGTCATTTTCATTTTTTGCATGCAATTTGCTTATCTCCATCTTCAATGTTGCATTTTCACGTTCAACACTTCTAAGTTCCCTCAATAGTGAAGCCATCACATTTTTAGTCTTTTGTGGCAAGGGTGGATCTTACCATAAGAAAAGCCTACAAGTGCCACGTTTCTGCATTCACAAGTGCTAATTCAAACTATATATTTAGACAAAACATTTACAGAAATTGAGAAAAAAATTTAGCCCATAATTTTTGCAGCCATAAACCTTCTTGAAGGGTTTGACTCTGTCCGCGAAGTTATGCTTTGACATTGCTCATGGCAGTTGCAAGACACAATTTTGCCTCCATTGTAGTATTCATCATTCCATTCATATATCTCTTTCCTTGATTTTGAAAATTTTGAGTACACATTCTTCGTACCTTGATCACTACTTGAACTTAATGTTTCTTTGGCCCAATTGCTCTTCGATGCACTTTGCTTGCTATGATTTTGAACAATAGTTCCAAGAATTGGCAGATCTAAGCACCAATTTCTTTCGCAGATTACTATGAGCTCTTGAACCTTAGCCCATTTCACCGTCGCTTTTCTCTTTCAATTTACTTGGTGTGTAATTTATCGAATTACCCATTTTAATTACCGACCCATTAGTGATGTTCCAAAAATACCCCTCTTTTGTCAGTCAATTAGGGATCAGGTTCGATTTTCTTGGTGGTGCCGCCGCAACGCTCCTTAATTGGAAGTGAAAAATAAGTTTAGGTACTAAATTGGACAAAATTAAAGATAGGGGCCAAATCGACACTAGTAAAAAAGGTTAGGGACTAAATTGGCGATTTTTCCTAAGGAAAATGCACAAACTTTTCGAACTGTGATTAGATGTGTGTGTCATGAAAGAGAGCAATAATTAAGCATAGTATCAATAAAAAATACTTGGTATTGTTGTTAAAATGACAGCATTTTACACTAGTATCTGTGATTGTTATATGGTTGGAATTGTGCGATAGCTAGTACCATTGGAACTCTATTTGGAGAAATGAAAAATAAAGATGTAATGAGTGTCACATCAGCTGATGGATCAACTCTCCAAAGAGCCACACACCTAATATTCGTGGGGCCTTAACTTTTTCCCAAAAGCATTAAATTTGGATAGACTCGATTTCAAAAATTCAATAATACAAATTGTGTCACACTATTTGATGAGATGATATGGCACAACCTGGACCACTGAATTTTTGAAAATTGAATCTACCCAAGTATGAGCCCAAAATCATTTCTCTTTCTTGTAAAATTCCCACCTTTTGTTTTGAAAGAAGTAACAAATATATTGATTAAGAAATAACATACATCAGGCAAACAGTGCTAAATCATAAGCCATAGTTACTTGGCTCTTATCTAGTTTACATATTACCACCTAAGAATAAAATGATGACACATAGACAATAAGGCAAAATGCCCCAATGGCCCTTAAACCATTACGAAGTTTAACTTTTGATCCTTCAACTATTAATTGATAAGTTTTAACCCTCCAACTAATTAAAACATATAATTCTAACCCTCCTGTCAATTTGAGTTGTAATATTTAGGACAAAATGTCTAATGGCCCTCAAACTATTATAAGATTTAACTTTTGACCTCTAACTATTAATTGATAAGTTTTAGCTTTTCAATTAATTAAAACATATATTTCTATCCCTTCCATCAACTTAAACTGTTATGTTTAACAAAAATAGCATGACATGCGCAGCAGTGGCCCTGAAACTAGTGTAAAGTTCAACTTTTGGCCCTCTAACTATTAATTGACAAATTTTAACCCAACTAATTAAAACATACAATTCTAACCCTACCATCAATTTGCATCATTATGTAAAACATAAACATCACCATGTGCACAGTAAGGGCATAACCAAGGGGTATCTTCATCTTCGCAGAACATGTGCTAGAATAAAATTGTTTTACCACATTTGACTTATAAACTAATTTACCAAATCTCCAATTACTGAACTTTACCAAAATCAATTGAAAACCTAAAACCCAAAACCCTGAATAGAGAAATTCCAACAAGAATGGGCAACTTGAATTAATTGAGTTGTCTGCATTTGTAATTTAAATAATTTTTTGGTGTTATTCCAAATTCATTGGATTCATTTGCTTCTCTTAATGACATAAATCTGGCATACAATTCATTTTCTAAGGATATCCAAACAAGTCTTGGTTCTCTTTCAAGTTTGAATTTTCTAAATCTCTCAAATAATCAATTCTCTTGTGAGATTCTTGCAAACTTTACACCACTATATCTAAACCTTCTTAATTTTTCAAACACTCGGTTAGGCATATCCCAAATTCTTTATCAATAGATGTTTTTGTTTGATATAATGACTCAAGACGACGGTAAGGGTAGAGTTATACATTTTAATTAGTTGGAGGGTTACAATTTATCAGTTAATAATTGGAGGGTCAAAAGTTGAATTTTGTAATAGTTTGAGGGTAACTAGCATCTCATGAATCTTTTATCTCTGTTAGACATACCGACTCAAGTGGATAGAAGGATTAGAATTATATATTTTAATTAGTTGGAGGGTTAAAACTTATCAGTTAATAATTTGAGAGTCAAAGTTGAATTTCGTAATAGTTTGAGGTCACTAGGGCATTTTGCCCTTATGTTTAATAGAAATAGCATGACATGAATAGCAGTAGCTCTCAAACAATTATAAAGTTCTACTTTTGATCCTCCAACTATTAATTGATAAATTTTACCTCTCCATTGGGGCATTTTGACCATCTCATGAATCTTGTAGCTTTATGAGAGATAACAACTGAAGTTGACGAAAGGGGTAGAATTATCTATTTTAATTAATTGGAGGGCTAAAACTTTTAGTTAATAGTTAGAGGGTCAAAATGAAATTTCATAATAGTTGAGGCCATAGGGGCATTTTGCCCTAGACAATATCCATGATTATATTCCTAACGGTAGGAGGTGACCGTGTAGGATCAGGGATATAATATAGTAATAAGGTACTATTAGTTTTGATCAAAATATCCTTGCATTATATTCCTAACGGTAGGAGGTGATTGTGTAGGATCAGGGATATGATATAATAATAAGGTACTATTAGTTTTGATCAAAATATCTTTGCAGCAGAGCCTCCATACCCCAACCATGGACTTCACTCAGGCTAGTGCTTTTGCTTGAATGGCTGATTCTGTTAAAACTAGTTTGGCCTTACTTTGTAACATCATCCCTTGTGAGTTGTGAACAACATAGCCAATACCTCCTTTAATGACTTGATTGTCAAATCAGCCATCTATAGTGACAATGATTAGGTATGCAGCGAATGGTGGAGGATCCAACTCGAAATGTAACTCCATATTTCCTTCTGGAATCATTCTGTGATTTGCTGTAGTATTAAGATTTGATGCACATTTCGCCTAATCCATTAAACTTAAGACCTATACATGTGATAAGCAGAAGTAAGTGCTTGCACTGGATTGATACTCACTTCTTTACAGAGTTGTTTGTTCCTAGCAATTCAAATTTTCCAAACAATGTAGAACAATGTCAAAATAAGATCCTTAGGTGGCGTCATCTGTGCTCATTGACAAAACCACAACTTAGACTCTACGGGTTGTCCAATACTAAAATCCAAACCCAAAATTGAAGATTTAGAAGCGCATCTAAGCATCTAAGGTATGATGGCATAGGAGTACAACCCCTTTTAAAAAGCGCTACATTATTTGGACAAGCATCACTTAACAACCTCCATATAAAGAATTGAATTCTTGTCGGGTGCCTTATTAAACAAGATTGCTTTTTAGAATTGCTCATCATTATCATGAATATTAGACACGCTGGAAGAATGTAACCTGGAAGCCTCCCACAAGTTGCAAGCCAGGTGATAGTCCAAATTTCACAGAGTATATGTCATTCTTTGTGAGTACGCAACTCAAATAATCTTTTGCCTTAAAAGCTAGGATGTAATTGCTTAATACTTTCTCTATCACTTCCATGGTAAACAAGGCTACTCTTCATCGTCTTTGGCCTATTAAACCAGAAACCTTGAGATTGAAGTCTACCTGTGTATATGAAAAACTTTTACAGTAGATATTTTTTGGATTGTTTTTAGAGGTATTTTTAAAATATATTTTTGAGTATTTTTATAATTTACAATTTTTTGGGATATTTTTTTTAAATATATACTGGCTCTGTTTCTATATATTAATATTTATTTATATATATAATTATTTATTTATATATAATATATATAATATAAATATAGATTATAAATATAATATGTATATTAATATATATTTATTAAATATATATAAATATAAAATTAATATACATATTATGAAACAAAATTGAAATATATATATTTATATAAATATATATATATTTATTTTTATAAATATATAAATATATGTATATTATATATAATGCATAATATATATTAAATGTATTATAAATGTATTTTATTATATATAATACATAATATAAATGTATAAATGTATATTATTGTAAATGTATATACTATAAATTAATATTATATAAATGTATAAGTGTA